GAGCACTTAAATTATTCTATCATGATTTTTGTATTCTCAATAGTTTTTTTGCATTTATTTATCTTCAGTTTGTACTCCAACTATAAATGTTCTTTATTGCTCCTCGAAATACATTGGACAGCGGGCGCCAAAACCCTCTTTCACATTTTCTTWTAAATTTTTCGATTATTATGTAAACAATCTTGAAATATAATAACATGATAATATGATTTTCGTATTCTCAATAGTTTTTTTGCATTTTATCACACACGATAATGTTCTTCTTATACTCCCATTGTAAATTTTTTGACTTCCAAAAATTGACTCTGACTAGACAATACTTGACTATGACGTGTCACAACTTGACTCAAACATGACTATACTTGACTCAAACTTGACTTAGGCTTGACACAACTGAATTATAACTTGATTCCGACTTGAAAATACTTGACTACGTCTTGACTCAAACTTGATTCTGACTTCTCAATACTTGAATATGAGTWGACWCATCTTGACAAACGCTTGACTACGACTTGAAAATAGTTGACTACGACTTGACTAACAAGTTGAATAAAGTCGCAGTCAAGTATATTCAAGTCGGAGTCAATTATTATCAAGTCGAAGAATTTACAGTGGGAGTATAAGATGAACAATGCATTGTGTGATAAAATGAAAAAGATCCACTGAGAATATAAAAATCACGATACAATAATTTAGGTGCTAACGGATATTTATGTTTAAAAATTGTGTAACAATCGAAAAATTAAAAAATTTAAAAGAAAATGTGAAAGAGGCTATTGACACACGCAGGCAAATTTATTTCGAGTATTTAAAAAAAAAAATTAAAAAATTTACAGTCAGAGTACAAACTAAACTGAAAACTGCAGTGTGTGAATTAACTATAGTCAAAGGCAAAACAACTATTGAGAATATTATAATCATGATTTAATGAAATATAAGAGGGTCGTAGTTAATAGTTATGAACGTTTACAAATTGTGTACACAATAAACAAATATTTAAAAAAATGTTTTTAAAAAATGTGAAGGAGGGTATTGGCGCCGGCAGGCAAATGTAATTCGAAGAGCAAATAAAAAATTTAAAAAAGCAACAGTGGAAGAACAAGCTGAAGACTACAGTGTGTGATCTAAATATAGTCAAAGGCAAAACAACTATTGAAAATATTATWATMATGATTGAATGAAATATAAGAGGGTCGTAGTTAATAGTTATGAACGTTTACAAATTGTGTAMACAATAAACAAATATTAAAAAAATTTGAAAGAGGGTATTGGCGCCCGCAGGCAAATATATTTCGAGGAGCAAAAAAGAACAAATTGAAAATAGCTTCAGTGGGAGAACAAGCTGAAGACTGCAATCTATAACTTCCAAATGCATAAACTTAATACTTATTATTTTGATTTAATAATCCAACTTGTATTTATTTTATTAAAATTTATTTTATTAAAATTTATTTTATGAGGGCAACGTGGCGAACGTTGTAAAACACAAGTTGCAAAAATTATAATAAAAAAGAAATACAGCTCGCAGCTATGGACTGCAGTCTATTTTAAATTATCTATCAAAAATATTATTGTGTATATTAAAATTAATGATTATTATTTGATCAGAGKACGCATTACTTATTATGATTGACAATAGACGGATGTATATAATACCGGTATAACACAAATGCGGCTTTAAAACCATGTTAAAAATGTTGGCAATATTGATTCAGTTAAAAATAATATACATAATTTATACAAATTTAAATCAATAATAATTTAATTAAAAAAATAATTTAAGTTTCCTCAGTAATTTTAAAATATTTTCTTTCATTGTTATGTTTACAATGTCATATACCTTAATAGTT